TGTGTGTTACAGAAAGTTGATATTTTCATCGACTGGCCCTCGTGATCAGTTAATGGACCTATCATTTTATCCAACCTTTGATTTGGGTATGGGCTATTATCAAATCAAACCAGAACCAACGATATTCGTAATGTTGCCTTACTCGTGGTTGATCCCTCGAGCATACATCATTATATCTTTTGGTATGACCAATGTTATCCCCGTGTTCACTTAATTGTGGAATTCCATCTATATGGAAGCCTGGATGGATTCCATCCCCGTGTTCACTTACTGCTAGTTTGCTGTCTGGGCATAACAGACGGCAAAGACGTAAATCTTGACGGCAAAGAGGTTGCCATCAGGAAGTAGACGGCAAAGTCAGACGGCAAAGATTAATCGGCAAAGAATACTTTGCCGTCTGCTTTTTTTTCCTGATGGCAAAGACTTTGCCGTCAGTCTATATTTTTGCCGTCAGTCTGCGGAAAGTAGACGGCAAAACATTGCGCCAGACGGAACGGACGGTCTAACGGCCAGCGTCAAGTGTTTTGCCGTCTACCAGCCGTCCAACCAGACGGCAAAGTCTATTATCTTTGCCGTCAACTATCAGTTTTGGCAGACGGGAAAGAAGCATACTTTGCCGTCTGTCACTGTACTCCCAGTGGGCAAAATAGCAGGACTTTGCCGTCTGGTGCTCCTTTACCAGTCAACAAAGACTTATATTTTGCCGTCAGTTGGTGTTGGCCCAGACAGCAAAACTATACCTCTTTGCCGTCAACCTGCCTGTTGGCAAGACGGCAAAATGTCAGCGGAAGCACAGGCTGGTGACATGTGGCATCTTTGCCGTCTGTCACTTGACGACAAAGCTCCTTTTTTTAAATCAGAAATTAAACAGTTTAATACACAGTATAGAACCATAACAGCACAGAACCATAACAGGACAGCATAGTTCCATAGCAAATATAAGCAACAATGAACAAATATAAGAACGAAGTTCCATAGCATATATATAGTCGCAGGACAAAGTTCCATAGCATATATATAGTCCCAGGACAAAGTTCCATAGCATATAGTCCCAAAACAAAGTTCCATAGCATATATATAGTCCCAAAACAAAGTTCCATAGCATATATATAGTCCCGGGACAAAGTTCCATAGCATATAGTCCCAAAACAAAGTTCCACAACATATAATACACAATGAACAAAGATGGCATCACTACGTAAGATTTGGCACTACAACAAATGCCTTCATGTCCATGTCGTAGTCCAAAGAGCATCCAGGTGGCAACCTACAAGATTGAATGGTGTGTGTCAAATAACGTGCTTGAAATCATCAATTTGCCAAATAGACAAAAGAAAGTACTTCGACACTACAAAATAAATAGTGATCCATATTCCATAGTGAGTTTCTAAAATAAAAAGCTTCTAGTACATATGGAGTTTCTTGAACACTTATCCAATTTTGTACATGCTAATTTAACACTAGATCTTTACTTATATGTCTGATCTTTAAATGGTTCAAACAGTCTCTACTTACAAGTTTCTAAATCATGGAGATCTTCAAATGGTCTCTAAATCATGAAAATAAGTAGCTACTTGTCTCTAAATCATGAATATCTTCAAGTGTTCTCTAAATCATGAAAATAAATAGCTTCAAGAATGCATATATTTAATTAAGATCATGGTTGAAATTGTTCAAATGGATTATAGTTTGAAACGGTTCAAATGGTCTCTACTTGTCTCTACTTATAAGTTTGATCTTTAAATGGTTCAAACGGTCTCTATCTTACAAGTTTCTAAATCATGGAGATCTTCAAATGGTCTCTAAATCATGAAAATAAGTAGCTACTTGTCTCTAAATCATGAATATCTTCAAGTGTTCTCTAAATCATGAAAATAAATAGCTTCAAGAATGCATATATTTAATTAAGATCATGGTTGAAATTGTTCAAATGGATTATAGTTTGAAACGGTTCAAATGGTCTCTACTTGTCTCTACTTATAAGTTTGATCTTTAAATGGTTCAAACGGTCTCTACTTACAAGTTTCTAAATCATGGAGATCTTCAAATGGTCTCTAAATCATGAAAATAAGTAGCTACTTGTCTGTAAATCATGAATATCCTCAAGTATTCTCTAAATCATGAAAATAAATAGCTTCAAGAATGCATATAGTTAATTAAGATCATGGTTGAAATTGTTTAAATGGATTATATTTTGAAACGGTTCAAATGGTCTCTACTTATAAGTTTGATCTTTAAATGGTTCAAACGGTCTCTATCTTACAAGTTTCTAAATCATGGAGATCTTCAAATGGTCTCTAAATCATGAAAATAAGTAGCTACTTGTCTCTAAATCATGAATATCTTCAAGTGTTCTCTAAATCATGAAAATAAATAGCTTCAAGAATGCATATAGTTAATTAAGATCATGGTTGAAATTGTTCAAATGGATTATAGTTTGAAACGGTTCAAATGGTATCTACTTGTTTCTACTTATAAGTTTGATCTTTAAATGGTTCAAACGGTCTCTATCTTACAAGTTTCTAAATCATGGAGATCTTCAAATGGTCTCTAAATCATGAAAATAAGTAGCTACTTGTCTCTAAATCATGAATATCTTCAAGTGTTCTCTAAATCATGAAAATAAATAGCTTCAAGAATGCATATAGTTAATTAAGATCATGGTTGAAGTTGTTCAAATGGATTATAGTTTGAAACGGTTCAAATGGTATCTACTTGTCTCTACTTATAAGTTTGATCTTCGAGAATCAAGATAGCTACTTGTTTCTATGTTGAGAAATTTGAGACCTACGTAAATGATATATGTACGCACTAACCATACTCGATCTCAAACATTCGGAGAACCACCAAGGTTGTTGTCGCTTGGGCCTCGTGCATGTGAAGATCCATCAGCATTAGATCCATGGCCTGATTGAGGCATCTGCATAGCGGGCATACCATTCTGGGTACAATAAGCCTGCAAATTATGTTTGAGTGAAGATTAAGTACTGGTAGTAGAAGATTATGATTGAGTGAAGATTATGTATGTGTTTGGCAATTAAGGAACTAACCGCAAACATTGCAAAGCATTGACTAGTTTGTGCCAACACCGCCTGCTGCACCGCTTGCTGCATCCTCTCACCAGCCAGTCGCCTCTCCTCCGCTGCCACTCGCCTCTCCTCCTCCCTCTCCTCTGTCGCCACTCACCTCTCCTCCGCCAGTCGGGCCTGCAAAATATGGCATGGCAATTGCATCTTCAATCCAACAGTAAGTAAGAAACAAACATATATAGAAGGACTTGTATAGAATACCTCCATCTCAACCATAGCTGGAGTCGAGCGTTTATATGTAGAAGATTTTGAGATACGTAACCGAGCTTTGTATTCAGGGAGAGAGCTACGGGAGGAGCTAGGGAACATGCCTCCTGCAATTGCTTCCTTGCCATGTTTCCTGCCTTCTCCAGAGATCATGACCAAAGCGTGGTCAAGAGGCTCTGTTGTCACATCATACTCGGGCCCTTTCAACTCTTTTGCCACCCCTTTAAATTTCTCCATCCGATCGTAGGCGGTCTTGCTGGAGTACGCGGACGCTGTGTCATTCTCATCGTAAGGCGTGGCTGTTCTATACGGTGCCTTATGGGCCAAAGCATACGAGACGAAAAGGTTGGGCACTGGAGCATTATGGTGAGACGCCTGCAACCAAAGCAACATGATTAAGATTTCATCACAAGGATTGGCAACATGTATGACAAGAAAAAGCTTATGAAGAACTCCATAAGATATACCCAACGTTCACCGTACTCCATAACATTCAAGTTGCCTTGATGATGTAGTGGATCCAGCATTCCGGCTAGCCGATTTCTATAGTCTTTGTTTTTCGCCCTGTACTCTTTGGAACACCAATAGTCCACGATCCGCTCCCAACACTCCCCCTTATCGACGCACCATCTCGGAGTAACCTAATTGATCAATTGCATCTCATATATGTCAAAAAGAAATTGAGTGCCAGCCTGTTGAGGAAATAACAAGCATGAATATGCTTTACCTGCATGTACTTGTCCTTCTCAAGACGGAGTCTCCTACCAGCTTTCTTATCAAGACTCTTATAGCCTTGAGTTGCCATATATTTGCGGATGGCTAAAGGGCGTGCCTCGTGCATCAGATTATGCACAAGCTTCGGCCAATGTTTGTTGACAACTGCTCGTGCCTCCTCCAACTTTCCATCCTCGCATCTATAGAAATCCTACAAATATAGATTTGGTGCAGTAATTTTCAAACCTTTAAGTCTGAGGTTTCTTATAAAATCTAAATAAAGTAAAATCTGCTAGTTTATTTATAGTCCAAACAGGCAAATATAGAGACAGGTTTATTTATAGTCAAATCAGGTTTATACATATGCACCCAGGTTTATACAGTCAGGTTTATTCAATAACACAATAACACAATTGTTAGCCCAGAACTACAACGTAGCTGGCTAGTATCCTTAGGAACGAACTACGGTAGCCAAGCACTCACGGAAGCAACACACACGTACTAGCAGAGTAGAGCTCACTTGATTCTACACTGAACATGCACACACACGTGAGAGAGGAGTACTACTTGAGCTGCCTTCTGGTGAAATTGGAATGGCCTGAGTTACAACCCAGGGTGTGAGGCTCCTTATATAGGACAGCCGAACCGACCTAAGCAAAATATCAGCTAGCAGTGAGGTAAGCACTTGCGTCACTAGCTAGCTTACCAAGCAAGCTACGTTTCTACTACTACTAAACTTCACTAGTAAGGCATGCAGCCTTTGTTGCTGCCGACATGCATACTACAAGCTAGTAAGTAAATACTGCTACAGCTACATGCATGTTGTGCCACTACATGCATGTTGTAGACCATCCGGAGACCAAGGCTGACTCAACAATCTCCCCCTCAACCTTGTCGAAGGAGCTTGATGTCGATGATGCCGACCTTCTCGCACTGCTCCTGGAATCAGACATGACCAAGTGCCTTCGTTGGGATGTCCGCCTTCTCAGGCTATGTATGGCCCGTACACCCTGCTCGCGCTTCTTGATCTCGGGTGCTGCGATCGTCTGGCAGGCTCGAGAAGGTTCCTCTAGTCTTCGGAACCTGTGTGGATCGCCACCATTTTTTGTTGGCATCAAACAAGTCCGACCGCGCTGTTGGCGGGGACATGAACTGCCCGGGAACCACCTCGCTCGAGGGCGTCAGTGTTCCTGGGATCGTAGTTCCTGATGTCACACTACCCAGGAACTCCTTTCCCGGGGTCGTCGTGTTGGACGTCATGCTACCCAGGAACTCCCTTCCCGGGGATGACTTGTTGGACGTAGCACTACCCAGGAACTCCCTTCCTGGGGTCGTCGTGCCGGACGCCGCACTGCCCGGAAACTCCCTTCCCGGGGTCGTTGTGCCAGACGCCAGACTGACCGGAGTGGCTCCTCTCAGGGTAGTGGAGTCCTTGGTGCTCTTCCCATCAGGCTTGCTTGTCGGGTCTCCCTTGACAATCGTGAGTCGTGCCTCCCGCACGGACTCGATGGACCCCGAGTGCGTCGGGGTTGCGGCGTGGCCGACCATAGAGCACCGTGCCTCCTGCACGGTCTCGACGGTCGCCACCAGCGTAGTCGGGTCGTGCCCAACTACAGAGTCCGGTGCGTCCCGCACGGACTCGATGGACTCCGAGTGCGTCGGGGTCGCGGCATAGCCAACCAGAGAGTGTTGTGCCTCCTGCACGGACTCTAAGGTCGCCATAGTCTCGGTCGAGGCCTTGCTGCCCCATGACCGTCTCTTCATTGCCTCCCAGTTGAGGCTTGTCGAAGAGTGCCGCGTTGCCCACACGGGCTTGCAGAACCCCGAGAACCTGGTTGTCGGGGTGTGGCCGACCTGAGAATGTCGTGCCTCTTGCACGGTCTCACTGGTCACCAGCATCATGGTTGGGGCGTGGCCCACCATATATGTCGTTGCCGTGCCTCCTGACACGGGCTTATTGGGTCCCGAGGATGTCGGGTACGCCTTTGCCGTGCCAACTTGCACGGGCTTGACCAGCGTCGCAGGGGACGTGGTTTCCGGGGTGTGGCTCCCCCACATCCGGGTCTTCATCTCCTCCCAATCGTAGTCTCCCGAGAATGTTGTTGTCGGGGAGAGCGCTAATGATGTGGGGAGGGGATTAGTTGAAGAGCTCCGTGCCTCCCACACGGACTTAACGATTGCCGGCACCGTGGTCTCCGGAGGTGCTGCGCCCTCCTGCACAGCTTCGATGCTTGTCGGGACCATGGTCTTCGGAGGCGCTATGCCCTCTAGCATGGTCTGGACGCAAGCCATCATCATTGCTGGCCCACCGTCCTCTTCAGCCTCGACGAGGTTCGCCGCGGCCGCGGCATCCTCGTCAGCCATCCTCTTGCGGCACTCACGGGCCCAGTGGCGCTTGATGCCGCAATATCGGCACTTGTCTCGGTCGTCGTTGCCGCCACCTCGTCCGGCTCCACCCTGGGTGCGACCGCCGTCTCTGCCGCTCTGGGCACCGCCACCACGTCCTTGACGCTTCCTCGCCTCCCACTTCTTTGAGAATAGGAGTTGTCCGCCGCTGAAGCTCTCGCGGTCGTCGTCAAGACGGTCCTCGACCACCCGCAACCGGCCCGTGAGCTCCTCGACGGAGAGCTCACTCAGATCAAGCAAGGTCTCGATGGATACCGCTACCTGAGCGAAGCGAGATGGCACGACGCGGAGAAATTTCCGCACGACTCTCGCGTCGTCCATGGTGTCACTGAGCGCGCGGAGCTGTGACGCAAGGCTGGAGATCCGCATGGCGAATTCGTCGACGAGCTCGCCCTCCTTGAAGGCGATGTTCTCGAAGTCCGCCCGCAACTTCTGCGCGTTCGCCTCGCGCACGCGGTTGCTGCCGAGGCGCTGGGTACGGATGGCTTCCCACGCCTCCTTGGCGCTTGCCTTCGCCGCGAGCATGCCGTGCATCTCCGGTGGCATGGCGCACATGAGGGCTGCCACGGCTTTCCTGTCCTCCTTTCTCTCGATCAGGTCATCCTCCATGGGAGCCCAAAGGCTCGCCGCATGAAGGTTGCACTCCATGATCAACGCCCACTCACTGTAGTTTGAGCGCGTGAGCATCGGGAAGGTGATGGGCACACTACCGCTGATTGTGGTCTCGCGCACGATCTCCCTAACCACGACCTCACCGCGATGGCCGCGCCTGGAGCCGGCGACTGGGAACACCCGAGGTGGTGCGTTGCTGCACTCCTTTACCATCGGCCATGGCTACCACAACTAGAGGCTCTGATACCAATTGTTAGCCCAGAACTACAACGTCGCTGGCTAGTATCCTCAGGAACGAACTACGGTAGCCAAGCACTCACGGAAGCAACACACACGTACTAGCAGAGTAGAGCTCACTTGATTCTACACTGAACATGCACACACACGTGAGAGAGGAGTACTACTTGAGCTGCCTTGTAGTGAAATTGGAATGGCCTGAGTTACAACCCAGGGTGTGAGGCTCCTTATATAGGACAGCCGAACTGACCTAAGCAAAATATCAGCTAGCAGTGAGGTAAGCACTTGCGTCACTAGCTAGCTTACCAAGCAAGCTACGTTTCTACTACTACTAAACTTCACTAGTAAGGCATGCAGCCTTTGTTGCTGCCGACATGCATACTACAAGCTAGTAAGTAAATACTGCTACAGCTACATGCATGTTGTGCCGCTACATGCATGTTGTAGACCATCCGGAGACCAAGGTTGACTCAACAACAATCAGGTTTGCTACTGCAGTGTGTGATTTTTATTCAATAACACAATCAGGTCTATATATATGCACCCAGGTTTATACAGTCAGGTTTATTCAATAACACAATAACACAATCAGGTTTGCTAATGCAGTGTGTGATTTTTATTCAATAACACAATCAGGTTTATATATATGTACCCAGGTTTATACAGTCAGGTTTATTCAATAACACAATAACACAATCAGGTTTGCTACTGGAGTGTGTGATTTTTATTCAATAACACAATCAGGTTTATATATATGCACCCAGGTTTATACAGTCAGGTTTATTCAATAACACAATAACACAATCAGGTTTGCTACTGCAGTGTGTGATTTTTATTCAATAACACAATCAGGTTTATACAGTATGCACAATTAAGAAATACAGTACAGCAAAGTATCCACGTCACAGATTTTTATTCAAGTTAGATATTTGCAGGTTAATCAGCAGAGCTCAAAGAATGCCTCATGTGGTATACACACACATTTATAAATAAACTAGGCTGTCCGTCCGTCCATGGTGGGCGCCTCCTCGCCTTTGTGGCCACAGGAATATTAAATCTAAGTTTACTAGATAGTTTTGCTACTGCAATATTATAGTCTGCTAGCATTCTATTAAGAAAAATAAAGTAAAATCTAAATCTAAGTTTCCTAGATAGTTTTGCTACTGCAGTGTGTGAAGGAAACTTAATGATTACCCAAAGTTCGGCAAAGACCCGCTCGGCTTTGTTGTGAAACTCGATGTTGTTGGCTACACCAAGATCCTCATAGGCTTTGTAGTGGTCCCAGGTACATGCTGGCTCCGGAACTTTGCCCTCCCCAGGCAAAGTAACCATGCCAGGGTAATGCTCCTTAATGAGGCTCCCAGGGACGCCGTTCACGTGTCGGTACTTTCCCGTGCTAGCTCCAGCTTTCTTCCAACCGCTACATAATGAGAAGCCGAAGTTATTAGCAATTGTTGCATACATTGAAGGTAGAAAATGGGAAGCCAAAGTTAGTTACATTTCTCCACATGGAGCAATACATGGCCTCTGCTCCACAGGAAGCCCTCGTTCCGGGAGCCTTGAGGAACCACATAGGTACACGGACCGACCCTCCTCAACTTGGATGAAACCAGCATGCTCCTTGTTAGAGGTCGAGGCCTCCTTGTCAGAGGTCGGGGCCTCCTCGTCAGAGGCCTCCAACGACAACCGCTCTTCCTCGACCCTCTTAGACACGGGGGAGTGAGACACCGACTCGTCCTCC